CCTAGTTATAGTTGTCATTCCCCCCTCATCCAGATCCTTCCAACCTACCCACCCACCAACCATACACACTTTCTCTCTCTTTGGAATGTTAACAGTGAATCGAAAACAAGACAAAGCAAAAACAGAATAGAAGAAAATAAAAAAGAAAGAAAGAAAAAGAAAGAAAGGAAGGAAGGGAGGGAGGGAGGGAGGGAGGGAGGGAGGGAGGAAGGAAGGAAGGAAGGAAGGAAGGAAGATGAGAGAAAGGAGGAAAGAGGGGGAAGTAAGGAAAAGAAAGGAAGGAAGGAAAAGAAAGGAAGGAAAAGAAAGGAAGGGAGGAAGGAAGGAAAAGAAACATACACACATAAAATACATAAAAACAGTAATTCAGAAACCATAAAAGAGGCAAAAGTTCAATAAGACAAAAAAATCAAGAATTTTTGAAAGGAAGCTAAAGAGAATGCTCAGTGTGTAAGTGTATGGATTGAGAACCTGAGTTTGAATACACAAGACCAGTGTAAACTGATATAAATGGTAGCATGTCCCTGTAACTGTGGTACTGGTGGGTAGGGGTAGAAACAAGAAAATTTCAAGTACTTGCTATGGAAGTTGTTATTGTGATTGTTGTTTTAATCTTTTTTAACTAATTAATTAAGTTACTTTACATCCAGATCTTAGCTTCCCTTTCCTCCTCTCCTCCCAGACCCTCAATCTTACATCACCTCCCATCCTACTTCCAACATCCTTTCTCCTCAGAAAAGTCTCAGTAAAGGAAGGTCTCTCATGGGTATCAACCAACCTTCTATCAACCAACCTTCGCATGTCAAAGTTGTAGTAAGACTAGGTGCAACTTCTCCTACTGTGGCTATGCAGGGTAGCCCAGTTAGGGTAAAGGGGTGTATAAATGGGCAACAGAGTCAAACAGAGCTACTGCTCCTGCTGTTAGAAGTCCACATGAAGACCTGGCTATCAATTGATACCTATGTGTCAAGGGCCTAGGTCTTGCTATATTTTCACTTTATTATGTTTAGGTATGAGTCTTGTTTCCCAGATGTCTCCAAGACTTTTATCATAAAAAGTGATGGATTTTGTTAAAGGTTTTTTTCAGAATCTAATGAGATTACAATGTGGTAGGTTTTTTTTCTTTCAGTTTGTTTATATAATGGAATATGCTTATGGATTTTTATATGTTGCACCAGCCCTGCATCTCTGGTCTTCTTGATTATGGTGAATGATTTTTTGATGTGTTCTTGAATTCAATTTGCAAATATTTTATTGAATATATTTGCATCAATGTTCATAAGGGAGTTTTGTCTGCAATTCACTTTTTTTGGTTGAGTCTGTGTGTAGTTTAGGTGTCAGCATGATTGTAGCTTCATAAAATGAAAGTGGCAGTGTTCCTTCTATTTATATCTTGTGGAATAGTTTGAAAAATCTTGGTATTAGCTCTTCTTTGAAAGTCTGCCTAAAATCTGCACTAAAACCATCTGTCCACAGGCTTTTTTGGCTCAGATATTTGACTGCTGCTACTTTCTTAGGGATTATTGGCCAATTTAAAATGTCTACCTGATCTTGATTAACTTTGGTAAGTTGTATCTACCAAGAAAATCATTTAAATAGTTTACATTTTCAAATATGGTGGATTACACATTTTTTAATTAAGACAAAATTATTCTTTGGATTTTCTTTGTGTTGGTTGCTATGTCCCTGTTTTCATTTCTAATTTTGTTAATTTATTTGTTTCTCTCTGCCTTAGTTAGTTTGGCTAAGTGTTTGTCTATATTGTCCATTTTCTCAAAGAACCAGCACTTTGGTTTTCATTTTTTTTCTATTGAGGGGGGGTTGATTCTCTGTAGTGTGCTCTTTTCTATTGGTTATATTACTTATTTACATTTCATGTTATTCCTTTTCCAATTTCCCCTCCACAAATCCTCTATCCCATCCCCTATGCTCCCTGCTTCTATGAGGGTGCACTCCTACTTACCCACCCACTCCCACCTCACCACTCTAGCATTCCCCTAAATGCTGGGACACTGATCCACCACAGGACCAATAGCCTCCCCTCCCATTGATGCCAGATAAGGCAGTATTCTACTACATATGTCACTAGAGCCATGGGTCTCTCCATGTGTATGAATTGGTTGTTGATTTAGTTCCTGGGAGTTGTAGGGGATCTGGCTGATATTGTTCTTCCTCTGGGGTTACAAATACCTTCAGCTCCTTCAGTCCTTATTCTAACTCCCTCAATGGTGTCTCATTCTATTTGTTTCTAATTTATTGATTTCAGCCAATATTTTAATTTTTTGTGCCATCTACTCCTTTTAGGTATGTTTGCCTCTTTTTGTTCTAGAGCTTATATGTGTCCTGTCAAGTCACTAGTATGATATCCCACTAATTTCTTCTTTTTCCAATAATTTAATAATTTTCTTGTTTATCTTAGATCTTGATCAGAGCTTAGGCTCCCTCCTCTCCACCAATTCCAACCTTGACAAATCCCTTTCCCCATTGCTCCCTTCCCTTCTCCTCAGAGAAAGGGAGGCATACTGTAAGTACCATTCCATCCTGGGATATCTAGTGACAGCAAGACTAGGAAATCCTCTCCTGCTGAGACCCAACCAGGAAGTCAAGGCAGGGGGAAGGGAAGTCAATGGAAGGAGCAGAGACAACCCCCACTCCACTATTAGAGGACCCTCATGACGACCAAGCTAAATGTTGGGTACAAATGTCTAGGGGATCTAGGACCAGCTCCTGCATGTTCCTCGGTTAATGGCCCAGGATATGTAAGCTCCCATGGTGCCAGGTTATTTGACACTGTAAGTCTTCTTGTATCCTTGACTCCTCCAGCTTGTTTACTTCTATCCCAAACACTTCCACAAGACTCCTGTGCTCCACATGATTGTGGCTGTGAGTCTCTGCATCTGACTCCATCTACTGCTGGATGAAGCATTTCAGGAGACAGTCATACAAGGCTCACATCTTAAAGCATAGCAGAGTATCACTAGTAGTATCAAGGGTTGGCTTTTTCATACGGATGGGTCTCAAGCTGTTGTAGTTGTTCCCTCAGTCACTGCTCCAGCTTTATCCCTGTATGTCTTGTAAGCCAGACAAATTTTGGAATGAAGGTTTTGTGGGTGAATTGATGTCTTGCTTCCTAATCTGGAAGTCCTTCCTGGCTACAGGAGGTGGCTAATTCAGTCTCTATATCTCCCTCTAGTAGGAATCTCAGCTAGAATCACCCCCATTGACTCCCTGTAGCCTTCTTCATCCTAGGCCTGCAGCTAGTCCTAAAAGATGTCCCAATTTCATTCTTTCTTCCAGCCCACTCCGCTGGCCTCTCTCTGTCTACACCTAATAAGTAGTCCCATTACCCTCTTCACCACTCTCCTACCCAGTCACCTCACTCTATCCTCCTCTAGTGACAATTTAGAGTCCCCTTCTTAGTGAGATCCATGCATTCTCCCTTGGGGCTACCTCATTACTCAATTTCTTTGTCTCTGTGGAAGGTGACATTGTTGATTCTACATTGTATGGATAATGTCAACTTATAAGTGAATATATACAATATGTGTCTTTCCTGCTCTGAAATACCATATTCAGGAAGGTATCCTGAGTTGCATCCATTTGCCTGCAAAATTCATGCTGTTTAACTGAATGTCTGCATGTAAAAGAATACAAATAAATCCGTATTTATCAACGTGTTCAAAGGTCAAACCCAAATGGATCAAAAGCATCAACATAAAACCTAATACACTAAATCTAATAGAAGAGAAAGTGAAGAATAGCCTTAAAACTATCAGTACAGGAAACAATTTCCAGAACAGAACACTAATTCCTCGGACTATAAGATCAATAATTGATTAATGGGACCTCATGAAACTGAAACACTTCTGTAAGATAAAGGCTACTATCAGTTTGGGAAACTCAAGAAATTAGACACCAAAAAACCAAATAACTCAATTGAAAAATGGAGTCCAGAGCTAAACAGAGAATTCTCAACAGAGGACTCTCAAGCACTTAAAGAAATATGTCACATACTTAGTCATCAGGGAAATGCAAATCAAAAGAACGTGAGTTTCCATATTTCACCTGTCAGAATAGCTAAGATCAAAAACTCAAGTGATAGCAGATGTTGGTGAGAATGTGGAGCAAGGGGGACACTCCTCCATTGCTGGTGGAAGTACAAGCTTGTACAACCACTTTGGAAATCATTTTGGCAGTTTCTCAGAAGAGTGGCAATTGTTCTACCCAAAATATGTCCCACTATACCACAAGGACACATGCTCAACTATATTCAAAGCAGCTTTATTTATTTATTTATTTATTTATTTATTTATTTATTTTTTAGTTTAACCAGAAACTAGAACAACCCAAATTTCCACTAAAGAATGAGTAGAGAAAATATGATATATATACACAATAGAATACTCTCCACATATTAAAAACAAAGACGTGACTAATATCTTTATGCAGTCAATTAGGGCAATGGGTTTTCCCTCTTAGAAGGGCCTTATTTGTGTCCCATAAAATTATATATGTTATGCATTCATTTTCATTGAATTCTAGAAAGTTAATTTTTATTTATTTATTTATTTATTTATTTATTCCATGAACCAATAGTCATTAAGTAGAGAGATGTGCAGTTTCTATGGGATTATGAGCTTTCTTTTCTTTCTGTTATTGTGAAGTCCAGCTTAATCCACTGTGCTCTGATAAGATTCAGGAATTTACTTCAGTTTTCCTGTATCTACTGAGACTTCCTTTGTGTCCAAGTATATGATCAATTTTGAAGAAGGTTCCATGATGTGCTGAGGATAAAGTATATTCTTTTCTCTTTGGGTGGAATATTATATATAGATATCTGAGGTGATGTTTATCTTTGTTGCTATGTTGTGTTTCTTGTATGCAGCAGAATGATGGATCCTGGTGTTGTATCCATTTTGTTAGACTGTGTCTTTTGTTAAAGAATTAAGTCCATCTGTGGTAAGAGATATTAATGACCAATGATTTTTAAATCCTGTTCTAAAAATGTGGAAGACACAATGAGTTTGTGGGTCATCCTTACACAAAGACAATGCTAATATTCTCTGTATCTTCAGATTTTAGTATATGTGCTTCCAAAGTGAGTACACTATGAAAATTATTTTAAAAATAAACTGTTTAAATATATACAGAAAATTATAGCCCAAAATCCCAAAGTTATTTGTTGGTTGTAAGGCAAGTGAGTAGATCAAGTCTCTGATTATAACAACTAAATTTTGTATGGGTAATCCCAAGTCTACAAAATAATACTTCTTAAAGACTCATTATTAAATAATCATCATGCCCTATTTGGAAACAATAAATATTACTCATGGAAGTAAAAAGTTAATATTAACATGTATTTCTTAAATGTCAAAAATTATCTTAATAAGGTTTGCTTCTCTGACATTAAAGAAGGAACATAAAGAACTTCATATACTGTTTTCCAATAAGTAGACTGTAAAGAATCCACAGTAATCTATACATTTTAAAAATATTCACAGATGAATACATGGATAAATGATACTGATCAACAATAGTCTCTGTAAGTCAAAGTCAAAATTGCATTCTTCTAAAGGTTCTGCATGCACAAATCCTTGAACAAGTTTAAACCAGATAAACTCCCAGCACAGAGAATGGGAAAGTGGGCAAAATGGCTCATTATGAAAAAAGAAGCTATCTGTAATTGATAGATTCTGTTTTTTTTATTATTTTAATGGAGTAATGTGGTGACTTGAATATGCTTGGCCCAAGGAGTGGTACTATTAGGAGGTGTGCCCTTGTTGGAATAGGTGTGGCCTTGTTGGAAGAAATTAATCACTTTGAGGTGGGATCTGAGTCTCTTCTCCTAGCTGCCTTGAAGCCAGTCTTCTGATACCTGCCTTTGAAAGAACATGTAGCTCCTCCAGTCCCATCTCTTCCTGGATGCTGCTATGCTTCTTGCCATGGCAACAATAGACTGAACCTCAGGACCTGTAAGCAGTCCCAATTAAATATTGTTCTTGATAAGAGTTGTTATGGTCATGATGTCACTTCACATCAAAGGAAACCTTAACTAAGACAAAGTAACACTGAATATATCAACCACACCCATATGCTCCAGAATAAGTGGCACGAAATAACTTTATAATTTTTGTTTTGGTTCAGTTCGGTGTAGTTTTAATCTTTTCTTATGATGATATTTGCTTGTTTGCTTGCTTAGGTTTTTTCCAAAGATAACAACATAAAGTAGTGTAGGTAGGGAGGAATCTGGGAGGAGTTGGGGAAAGAGTAATAATATACCCAAAATATATTTTTTATTTTAAAATATAAAAAAGATTAAAATGATGAAATATTTTTTAGGCAGATGATTTACTATGCCCATTTTTAAAGTGAGTGAAGGGACTAGAGAGATGGTTCAGCAGTTAAGGGCAGGTTTTGCTTTTGTAAAGAAACCTGTTTTGGTTCCCAACACCCCCATGATAGTGCAGAAAAATCTCTTACTCCAGGTTCAGGCACATGCATGCAGGCAAAATGCTCATAGATAAAATTAATACATTTAATTGTAATTTAAAATGTGCAGACATGATTACATCATTTCCTGTACTTTTTTCATTTACAGTTTTCCAACTGAATCACAGTGAGAAACAATGACCCAAAGTAGTCTATATGGTAAAAATATCAATGGTGCATGTAAATGGCATAGAGTTACTGAGAATTAAACATAAATTTAACATGAATGCCTCAGAAACTCAACTTCTTAACTATAAATAAAGATTTTTATTAGAAAAAAAAAACAAGGTAGCATTATTAACAGACCAAAGATGCTAAGATTGGAGGTCAAAAAAACTTTTAATTACTTTCATCCTTTTGAAATTATAATTATATCACTTCTCCCATCTTTTTATTCACTCTAAGCCTTTACTCATTTTCAATTTTATGCCTTATTTTACATTACCTCTGGACATATATTCCCAATTACTTAAGTATAGGAGAAAAACCCATGAGGTCTCAGCAGCCCTACACAAAGAACTACAAACAACTAAGGAATGCCAGGAGCAGGAGAAATAATCTTCCTCAGAGAAAAACATGCCATTAGATTACCCAACACTCAATAGTCAATCCTGAAAGCATACATACCGGAGGAAATTTTTTGTTAGTTCTTTGAGAACTTTGTACAATATGTTTTGATCATAGTCACCACCCCTTCCCTGATTCTTCAAAAATCCACTTCTCTTCATCGCTCATCCAACATTTTGTCCATTTCCCCCATCAAGACAAAATTGTGCCCCCAAATATTCTTGGATTTTTCCACTGGAGCATGATAAACTTATCATGGACTACATTCTTAGTGAAGACTGGCCCTTAGTATTTCAAGAGCTAAGAATTGTCAATAGCTGCTTAATTAATGGTTGAATTTCATGTCCATTCTCTCTATACTAGGATTTGGTATGACTTGGGCTTACACAAGATTTATACATGTTGTCACAACTGCTGAGAGGTTATATGTGCAATTGTTGCACTATGTCCAGAAGGTAATATTATATATATATGTGTGTGTGTGTGTGTGTGTGTGTGTGAATGTATAGTATAGCATATATATGTATATAGTATACATGTATATACATAGTACATATATATATATATATATCCACTTCCTCTAAACCTTATAAAATTTTGACTCCTCACTTCGACAATGATCCATGAACATGTGAATGAGGTGATACCATATATATGTTTCATTTAGGGTTGAACATAGTACAAATTCATATTCCCTGTACCTTGTTCAGTTCTTGGTCTCCACATTGATCGTCATTCACTGATAATAGAAACTTCTCTAATGAGGATTGAGATGCCTTAATCATCAAAAATACTGATAAGTCATCAGGAATTGGTTTAATACTATATGCATTTGCAGAGTAACAGTAGGTTCACTATAGTAGTAGGTTCTCTCCAAAGACACATTTTAACATCTATTTGTCAGCTGTTAGTCATCTAGCTTTTTATATCCCCTTGTCAGTTGTTGGACATTTAGGTTTTTTAAATATTCCCTAGCTATTGTAAATAGAGTAGCAATAAACATTATGAACAAATAACTATGTGGTAGAATGTCCAATAAATAAAGCATATACAAAGTGGTAAGTTCCATGGAGGTTTATTTCTAGATTTTTGTGAACCCTCCAAACTAATTTCCAAACAGGCTGCAACAGCTTGCAATCCTACCAACAATGAATGAGTGGTCTTTTTACACTGCATTCCCTTCAGCATTCACCATCAGTTATTTTGTTGATCTTTGCCTCTCTGACTGGGGTAAAATCAAACTTGAAAGTTGTTTTGATTTACATTTTTCTAATAGCTATGTGTAAAGATGTTTTAAGATATTTTTTAATCATTTGGAGGCTACTTTTCTTTTCCTGAGTCCATTTTCTGAGTAGGTCATTTGTGGTTTGATTGTTTGTTTTGGGGTCAGTATATTTGGAGAGGTATACATTGTGGATAATAATCATTAGCGAGATATATATCTGTCAATAATTTTTGTGGGATTCCTTTTCACATGGTTGGTTATTTCTTTAGCTGTGCAACATTTTAGTTTCAAGAAGTACCATTTTTCAATTGTTGACATTAGCTCTTTGCCAAATAGAGTCCTAGTCAAGAAGTCCTTTCCTATTCCTATATCATGTAGGGTACGGCCTATTCAATTTCAATTTTTCACATTTAGTTTTTCCATCTTTTTGGAGTTAGTTGACATGGAAGGTGATAGATACCGATCTAATTTCATTCTTCTGCATGTAGACATGCAGTTTTCTCAGCACCACTTGTTAAAGGTGCTTTATCTCCACAATATAATTTGAGGGCCTTTGTCCAACATTATGTAGCTAAAGTCATATGTGCTTACATTTGTGTCTTTGATTTTTTTTAACATTGGATTACATGTCTGTTTTTAAGCCATTACCATATTGCTTTTATTACAATAGATCTATAGTATATCTTAAGGTATGTAATTGTAATCTTTCTAGCATTGTTTTTTCCCTCAGTATTTTTCTTTTTTGCTAGTTTGGGGTTTTTAAGGTACAATATTAATTTTAGGATAGATTTTCTTTCCATCTCTGCAAAGAAACAGATGGACTTTTGATTCGGATTGCATTGGATCTGTAAATAGCTTCTGGTAAAATGGCCATTTCCATAATATTAATTCAATCAATTCAAAAGCATGAGCTATATTTCCATTTTCTAGAGTCTTTCCCTGCTTTCAGAAGTTTTCATTGTAGAGGTTCATATTGTCCTTGGTTAGATTCTTCCTGTTACTTTATTCTCTTTGCGATTTTTGTCAAGGGGAGGGTGTCTTTTTCTCTGTGTATTTGTTGCATAGAATAGCTATTGATTAGTGGAAGATGATTCTATATTCTACCACACTGCTAAATTTGTTTATTTCTAGATATTTTGTGTTAGAGGTTTTGACATTTATAATATGTAATTTCATGTTATCTGAAAATAGGAATAGTTTAATTTATTTTTCTAAAATCTATTTAGTGTCCTTTTGTTTCAGCTATCACATTAAACACAATGTAGAGAAGTAGAGATACTTGCCATTTCTTTCTAATTCCTAATATCAATAGGATTGCTTCATGTTTTTATATATTTAAGATGATGTTGACCATGTGTCATATATAGTTTTTATTAGGTTGAGGTATGTCCCTCTGCTCCTTCATTTTCTAGGGTCTTTATAATGAAAGCATAATAACTGTTGGATTTTATCACAGAACTTTTCTGTGTCTATTGAGATGATAGTATGATTTTTTTAAATCTATTTATATGATTTGCTGAACATATGTGTTGAAGATTCCTACATCTTCTGGATAAAACCAACTGGATCATGGTGAATAAGCTCTTTTCATGTGTGTTGGTATTCTGTTTGTAAGTATTTTATTGAGTATTTTTAAATCTATGTTTACCAGGATTATTGCCACTTTAGGTGTTTTTTTGTTTTGGTTTGGTTTGGTTTGGTTTGGTTTTGGTTTTTGGTATGCCTTTACCTTATGTTGCTTTTGTGTTGGCAGTGGATTGATAGAAAGAGTTCAGAAGTGTTTCTTCTTTCTATATTTTTAAAAATAATTTAAGAAGACATGACA